GAAACATGGACAAGGTGAAGAAAATCCTGCAGCTACTTTACAGTTTATATGTTTGGTTTTAAATGAAGTTCGGATTTATTATTTCTTTATTTTTATTCTATTATTTATTTCCTCCATTTTTTTTATATATTTCACAAAATCATCACTGCGGCACAGTCTCGACTGTCTGCATGCCGAGCGCATGCCGAGATCGAGGCGCGTAGGCATAGCTCTCGCTTCGTCCGTTTGTATGAAGTTGGAATACTGTATAGATAAAATTACCGTGCTATTTCTAATTTGTTTCATGTTGTAAATTGTAATATAAATGATTGCAAGCTATTAATTTAAAAAAAAAACACGCTGTGTTTCTTGCTGATTCTTCTCAGGACAGAGGTTTTATTTTGCGAACCAGTGGTAAATGAAAAAAAGTGACTTTCAATAAGTATTATTTGTAATACATATTGAATAAAAAAGTTTCTGTTGTTACTTTCTCACCAATGTTGAGACAGTTAAATTAGTTTATTTTAGTTACTTTCATAGCGTAATGTTTTATGGAATCTTACTATGGGGTAATGCGACTGACATTGAAGTCATATTTATTTTGCAAAAGAGAGCCTACTGGCAATTTATAACTTAAATTGTAAAGTCCCTTAGAGAAAAATTTAAAAAAATAAACATGTTAACTTTGGCATCGCGCATGTATTTATGAAAATGTAATATATGTACATTAAAACATAAATAGCTTTCATAAGAATAAAGATGTTCATACTTTAAACACTAGGAACAAACATAAGCTTGTAATACTAGTTACTAGACTCCATAGAACTAGTATTTCATTTATGGGGCAATGTATACGCTTTTACAACAATATTCCAGAAAATTTATCAATACAAATTGTCAGTACAAAATTTGTCATTAAACAAGTTTAAATGTTTTGTTAAAGAAAAATTGTACAAATAGGGTTATTATTATAATACCAAAGAATTTTTAAGAAACAGGTCCTGCCCCCTGTCTTCCTCAGAGACCAGGGTCAATTCATCAGGCTCTCCAAAACCTGTTACGACACAGGCATCAAATACGACCATGCTAAACCTAACATTCTACTCAGCGCCAACGCGACCCCGTCGGCGGGAATGAAAGAAGGGCTCCCGGCACGACATTCACGGCAGGACGGTGCTCAAGAGAAGAACAACAAGCAAGAAGACCTCTCAGGCTCCCTATTAGGTCCCATTAGGCATTAGATTAGTGATAGTTTGTAAGACTGCTGTATTGTGTAAATAGTTTAATAAGTTTACTTTAGTTTTTTGTACAATCTTTAATTTAACTCAACTCCTAGCAGTTTAAAATAGCAATAAATTTTCTCAGTAAATAATTAGTCATACATATATCGCAGTAACAGCACAGAATAAATAATTGTACTACGAACAGAAGTTGCACTCCTTTGATGTCGACTGCTTGCCGATGTTTAATAGCCTGTTTAATAGCTAAATAAAATTTTATCGCTGCGCCCGAGTGTCCATTTTACTTTGCATCTTTTCCCCTTCCTGCGCCATGGCGGACTTTTCGTGGTTACTAAGGGCTAACAATAAAGAGTAAAAAAAAATACATTGCAAAATGTTAATTAAGTTACTTAGGTGAAGTACCTATTCTAACTATGATCGACTGACCATATTTTCGTACCTACGTGATTTCTGCGATGCTCAATGCATGCAACTAGCAAGGCCACAGCAAATAAACCCGAAATACGATTCCTAACAGAAATGTGATCGTATTCTACTCAGTTAAAAATCTTGTTAGAAAACAAAGTTTTAATTTCAGTGTTTAGTGTTATTATAACTTATTTATTTTTATTACAATCTTATATTTAAATTACAAGACATAATATATAGGTATGTAAGTATGTAGATACTTGGATAGTGAAGTAAATTTCAACTACGTTTAGTAATAAAGTACATAGGTATTACTTGTGTAGATAAATTATTACTTAATCTATATCTTATCTATCTATCTTATATTTATATTATCTATCTTAATCTTTATCTTTTTTTACTATTAGCCCTTTCGCTCGGCTAACAATCTAATCAGATCCTACAATACCTACCTTACGCCCGCTCTAGTACGGGGCTAATTAGATCAGATAATATCAGAAGTACTGCCTTATGAAAAAACTACTTTTTCCTTTAAAACAAAACCAAAGACAATATGCAATAGATAATAGTATCAAAGACAAAGATATGCTCTTTTATTTTAAACCATAACCTGGCAATGTTTCTTAGAAAAAAAAAAAGAAATCACTCTAAACTTTCGGCGTTCCACGTGTCGTTTTGATGAATGTGCTCCATCTTTTTTTATAGAATTTTATAATTGTGTCTGGACTAAAAACGAAAGTATTATACTTTTTTATATTCCTTGTAATATAGTGAACACGAAGATATATAATTTGTGGTATAAAAAGTGAAAAGTAAATTGCCAAAAGTGCTTCAAAATCTGGAAGGCCCATTATGGCGGCTGGGTCGTAAATGCGTTATTTTTCATATTCTCATTTATTTTTAGTGTAAAATGTAAGTAAAAATAGTTTTCTTATATATTTCAAATAACTTGACGTTGTATTTATTTCAAATTCACACATAATTATTTTTGAAATATTGTTCTAAATGTCACACAGATAAAATATTATTATAGTTTTTTTTATATTTCAATATTTTGGTATGAGTAACGAATGGAAACATATAAAACATAAAAATATACATATTTCCAAACATTTTCATATAAATTTCTCCAAAAAACAAAGTTTAGAATTCAAATTAGTAGTAATTTTGTCACTAAAATTGAAGTATATGGTACTACTATGCTATATAGGGTAATTTATGTATTTTATTACAATTTCTAGCAACCAAAAATAATTTTATTCGATAGTTTATACATTCAACAAGAAATCCTGTAAGTTTTATCCATAAATATTGTCTCAAAGTGAAAATATAGCAAAATTTGCAATATAGCAAAAAATTTGCTAATTTGCAAATTTTCCCGCCATTACGGTCCCGAGCGAACGGGAGTATAACATGTCGCGCGCTGTCAGAGCGAAAGGGTTAGTACCTATCTAACAAAAAAAAAAGAAATAAATTCACCTTTCATAACTTCCTTCTAAAATCCTCCGGTAATTTTAAAGAATGATATATCTGAAACCTTTTTTTGGGCATTTGTCATCCATCCACGCAACAATTATAGTAGGAGCGACGTTTTTCCATTAAAAATTATCAAATAGGTAAAATAATATAAATAACACTAAACAAAGACTATTTCAACAAGTATTTACAAAAAAACTAATTACGTAAACACCGTTAAAAAACTCAAAACAAACATTCAATCGTCTACAACGCGCTAGCCCCGACCGCGTATGTTACCTTGGGTGCCTTTTTTTTTTTGCATGGGGAAATGCCTACGCATACCCGCCTCGCGGGGGCAAGGACGGGTTATGTCGGACTCGCACCGACTAAAACCCCATGGTGTTCCACCTTTGTCGCATATTGGCAGGGCTACGGGAACGCTTTCGCACACATCCGCGGCCCTACTAGCGCCTGCCGCCCCATGGCAGCACCTCCTCGGGAGAGGAAAATTCCTCCCGTTCTCCTTCCCAGGTAAGGCGCACCAGAACACATGGCGCGCCTTCCTCCAAGGCCTCCAATTACGTCTGTGCAACCGGTTCTCTACACTCACCATACGAAATACAGCAGCATTAAGATACTATTTCACGCTGGTATTCTGTGAGAGCGTGGTCCTTCCCCGGTCGAGCCGACCCATTCATGCTACAACTATACTACTAATATAACTGCAGCATGGCTCTACCACGTATAAAGTTTGTGCTTATTGATTACCCTTGGGGAAGATCTATGTACAGCATCGGACTTATAATGATGATGATGACAAGAAAAACATAATTTTTTATAAAATTATAATGTCAAAGAAACTAGCAATCACCCTGATGGTGGCTACAGCAACCAATGTACCTCCGGCAATGAATAAACAAATTGATTAAAACTACTTTAACGGATTTTATCGCGTTTAATTATTTGATTTTAATTCCCAGAATTTCGGGTGCTTCCCAGCACCTATGGTCACGGGGAAATAAGGTGACTGACGTCCCGATGTCAATGTTAACCCGGAGTCCCCGGAGGATTATTTATGGCCGATCTACGCAGAATGAACTAACTGTGTCTTGAATTCTTGCAGTCGGCAGGAAGCCTTTGGGCGCTGAGGCCGCGCCAATTAGACAGTCGGCCGGAATCCTTGAGCGGTGAAACCGTGCCGGTTAGATATCAGGCGTTACATAATAGGTGTGGCGCGACTCCCGGGTCGATTTAGGGGTCGCGAGTTTGATATATTTTTGCGTCGAAAGGACGGCCTCTATTGTGTTGTATTTGTCGTTAATATACGTGACAACGAGGCTTATTCTTGAGCTTATTTACGCGACGCCCGGGTCGATTATACGTAGCGAATCTCTTACAGTGTTATCTTAATTTGTTTTCGTTATAACGAGGTCGGAATTATACAATTATGGTTGTAACCGTTTTAAGTATTGTTTGTGACTGATATACGGTTGCGGGCGGCCGGTGTTTTGGAGGCCTAAATTAGTGTTAATTGTGTCCGCCATCTTGAATTACTATTGAACATTGTGGTCTAATTAGACCGCCTCGAATTCAGTTGTCTGTTTTGACGTGTTACGTGACAAGAGGCCTACTTGGAGTTTGGAATGATTAAAGTAACTTTTATGCCGTTAATTGCATCGACGAGAATGAATGAGATTTTGTTGTTTGATTGTGTGTCTCCTTGCGAGAAAACATTGTTTCCTACCAAGAATGATACGGCTCAAATAATGATAGTATTCCTGCTCACATGCAAATTATGGGCTTAGATGTGGAGTTACGGAACAAAGTCCGTCGTAAACTAAACTACATGAAACGAAACTATTGCTACGATAAACACACAAAGAATATTATATTTGGTGCATTTAATAACCTTACCTTTTCAAGTGCACTTTTCAAAAGCTGGGTGGCCAGATTTCTCGGAGCCCCAGGAGCACCTTGTACGGCGTCACTTAACTCCAATAACAATTGTGGAGTGCGAAGAGTCACTGACATAATTCGACCTAACTCATCCACCTGCAACCATCAAATGTTTTTATTAAAAACTTACATATATCCTAAAGGTTCACTAACTAGATATAACAGAGAGGTTTATTTGAGCCTGTCAAAGTCCACTGCTGAACATAGCCCCACCCCCTCCGTAGATTTTTAATTACAGTTTTTTAGCATTATTGTGTCCTTATCAGGATGGTGCTGCTCCGAGTTGAAAAAAACTGCTTTTTATAATTTCCTAAAACAGTTCAAAACGTTTTAAACTATTTTTTTTGTTTTTCTTATTTTTTAAACTTTTTGGCATAAATTTAAAATCAATTAATTCATTTCTAGAATATTTTTAAATCTTTATCTTAGTAAACATTCACAAAAATCGATCAATCAATATATATAAACACTCACGCCTGTCACCCAGAGGGGTAGGCAGAGACTACGGACTTCCATTTGGCACGATCCTGACATACCTCTTTCGCCTCCTTTACATCCATATATCTACGCATACATGCTCGTCGGTTAAGGGTACTTCTAACGTGGCCCATTTTCAAAATATCGCCAATTTGGTCGATAAACTTTTTCCTAGGGCGTCCCTTCCCGACTCGGCCATTCACATCTGCCATATAAATTTGCTTTGTCACTCTTTCCTCATTCATTCTTTCTACGTGACCAAACCACCGAAGCATTCCTTTCTTAATCCTGGTCACAACATCATCTTGCATACCACATTTATCTCTTATCACGCAATTTCTCACCCTGTCATTCAGATTACACCCTAGCATATTCCTTAAAGACCGCATTTCTACAGCATTTATTCTACTTTCGTGCTTCTTCTGCCACACCCAGCTTTCACTACCATACATTAAAGTAGGGACTAACACAGCATTATGAATTACCATACGTGCCTGTTTTGACAAATTCTGGTTCTTCATAATAGAGTGTAGTGCCCCATTCACTCTATTCCCTGCATTCACTCGTCGTTCTATATCCCTATCATATCTACCATCCCTGCTAAATACACATCCCAAATACACAAACTCATCCACTTGCTCAATCAACTCTCCTTCTATTCTTATTTCACATACAGTTTTGCTTTATTCTCTTTCAAAAACCATCACTTTCGTCTTACTTGCGTTCACTTTCATTCCCCTTTCTTTTAATTCCCAGTTCATTAATGTAACCATCATTTGCAACTCTGCCGCCAATGATCGGCATACCTTTTGTATGCCGATGATCAAGTATGACTTGATCATCGGCATACAAAAGGCATTTGACGGTTAACTCGCCCATTCTTAACCCACATTCTTCATCTTTCAAAGTTTGCAAACACGGGTCCATAAATAGGTTGAACAGCCAAGGGGGAAGCCACACAGCCCTGTCTGACACCTTTTTGGATGCCAAACCAGTCCGAGTAGACCCCATTGATCCTGACACAAGCACTAGAGTCCCTATAAAGAGACCTTAATGCCTGTATCAAACCAGCGCTCAACCCATATGAGTTCAGTGTTTGCCATAACACATTTCTGTCCACTCTGTCATAAGCCTTTTCCAAGTCCATGAACGCACAAAAAACTTTCTGGTTTTTGGCCAAAAACTTCTCCGCAATCATGCGCATGGAAAAGACTTGATCTGTACACCCCATTCCCTTTCTAAAACCCGCTTGCACATCCCAAATTTTTCCATCAGTTTCTTTCATAACTCTTTCAATTAACACCTTAGCATACAGTTTACCCACAATACTAAGCAAGCTGATACCGCGGTAGTTTTTGCAGTCCTGCTGTGACCCTTTTCCTTTATATATTGGTACTATAACTGCTTTACACCAGTCATCCGGTACCCGTTTTAATTCCCAACATAAATTAAACAAGGTGTACAGCAGGCCTGCCACCACTCCCTCTCCAGCCCTTAGCATCTCGAGTGATACTCTATCATATCCAGCTGCCTTACCTGCTTTCATGCTTTTCATTGCTTTCATTATTTCATCTACACTTATCTCCATACCCCTTTCCACTTCTTTCGGAATTTCTAGTTCATTTAATTCATACGACTCTTCACTCATAAACACGCTTTCAAAGTATTCCTTCCATCTGTTTAAATTCGAAACTTCATCATTCAGAATACATCCATTCTCGTCTCTTATAGCATTTATTATAGGCTGTTTTGTATTTCCCCTGGCAGTTCTTACGAGTTTCCAGAACATTTTTATGTTAGCCTGGAAATTATCAGATATCCTTCTATCATGCTTATCCGTTCCTTCTTTCTTTTTCCTTTCAACAACTTCTTTTACTCTCTTATTTAGACGTCTAAATTCTGCCTTTTTTCTTTCAATCTCATCATTCATACCAGAAGAATTATCAGCTTTGGTTGCTAGTAAATCTAACCATGCTTTCTTCTTTGATTCAACTTCCACACGTACCTCATCATCCCACCATAACGTATTACTTTTCCTTTCATTTGTTCTCTTACTTACACCGCATACTTCGGTGGCGGTATCCACCAAACCTTTCTTAATATTATCCCACACAGTATTCAAGTCTAAATCATTCATACACAACTCATTCAAACATCTAATATTTTCTCTCAGTCTACATTTATATTTCTCTATCACATCTTCATCTTGTAACTTCTCTATTCTTATACGCTGTAACGCAGTGGTAGATACAGATGTCCGATGCCGCCAACGCTTGAAAAGACCATTAATTCGACATAAGACCAAGTAATGATCCGTCCCTACGTTGGACCCCCGGTAAACCCTTGTATCTACGACTGCGCTCCTCATTCTTTCATCCACAATTACGAAATCTATCATGCTTCTATCATCACCTCTTTCCCATGTATACATGTGAATCTTCTTATGACGAAAAAAAGTATTCATCACAAAAAGATTCTTTTCCGCACATACGGTGAGGAGGTCTTCACCATTCTCATTTATACTTTCATCACCAAACGTTCCCAATATCCTTTCATAACCAGACCTCTTCACCCCAACCCTTCCATTAAAGTCTCCTAACATAATAATATTTTCATTTTCCTTGCATTTTGTCAACACCATCCTTACCATGTCCCAAAACTGCTCTCGGATGTAAGTGGGCTTAGACATGTCTGGGGCGTACACCCCTAGCAGGAACAGCTTCTTTAAGCCCACTTTCATTCGTATCCATAGCAGTCTCGGGCTTACACATTCATACTCTTTCACACATTGACCCATTCTTTCTGAAAGGATGAAACCGACTCCCTGGCATGCCCGTTCGGTCTCGCCTACACCAGACCAATACGCGGTATACGTGCCATGTGCAGTGGCATCCTTTCCCTTTCGTTTCGTCTCATTCACACATAACACATCTATTCCTCTGTCATTCATCATTTCGCATACTTCATCCATCTTATCATTCATTCCTCCACATACATTCAGCGTAGCCAGACGGGTTTCCGCAATCCACTTTTCGCCCCTCCGGGAGACAGAACGTGACGGGTGGCGAACCTCGTCGCCGGTTTTTCTCCCGGAGATTCTTCGCACCCCTGCCCTATTTAAAGGGCGCCGGGAACTCGGGGCCACTTCTTTTATTTCTTGAGCCATGGTGCGAACAAGGGTTGGTGGTAGATTTTACGCCGCTACCATACGGCGAGGAGCCGAGTCTATTTTATCGGCTTTGTCGCTCGTTTAGCACCACCCGGGGGACACGTGTAGGGTGGGCCTAAGGTTAGGTGGTCGAAGCCTACGGACGCGAGCGACTCATCCCCCCTCATAGGTACATTTATTTCTATATCAATCAATATAGGTACATTTATTTTTTGTTGCGTATCTCTAATCAATACTGAACGCTTTACATTTTAGATACATCGTGTTCATTCTTAATAGGTGAAAGAAACCCCATCCCTATATATCAGTTAAGGGAATACCCACACAATAGTTAAACTCGTGAACCATATGAATTACTTTCTTTCGACGACGGTTGACACAGGGACATTTCAAATACGAGAGCCTTTTTTCTAATATTTCATTTAATTATTGATTTTGTGACTGATAAGTTAACGCCTCATAAAAATGTCAACTCCAGGACGAAAAAAAGTATGTAATTGGGGAACAATTCATATAGATTGAATAAGATAGAAAATGTTAGAAAGGAGTTGTTGGACTTGTAAAAAGAATGGAGGCACACTTCCAAAAATGAAGTACCGATTCTGACACTGATGCAGATCTTGACGCGGCCGAGGACTGTGTGGTGGAGTTGTTGAGTAATGCTGGTTCTTCCCGATCTTTAGATAATACTTCTACCACATCGTGCGCCGTGTAGTGCCAGTGCCTGAAGCAGCAGCGCGAGTGTTAATGTTTCAATGAAAAAATTTACTATTAACACAAGTCAAGTCAAGAGGATCACGCTATTGTAGATGGTAGTTCGCGTAGATTGCCTAAAATTGATACGAAGGCGCTACTTCCTATAATCTTTAATAATGTTCCTTACTCAACAACTGTTAAAGATCTTAGATTAATTATTGACAACACCCTCAGTTGACAACCGCATGTATATGAAGTGAGCAAAAAGATCACTAGCACTCCGCGTTATTTGTATTGTCTCAAGAACTTTTACCAATAGGGACTAAGGTAATGCTAACACAGACACTAGTGTTGCCTATTTCAGATTACGCAGGTGTTTGCTATGCTGATGCCTTGCATGGATTGCATGATGATTGTATAAGACGATACCTTGGCTCAACAGGAAGAATAAGCGTCTCGTAAGGATATTCTTACATACGGCTGTACATCAGCATCACATATGTTAATCTTTTTAGCGAAAGACTTGAGTGTAGAAGATATTACTGAGAGAGTTAAATCAATAATTTGGTACTTCAAATAGAATCACTTTACATCTGCCAAATACAAACAAGCTGGTCGAAAAGCAATTGTTACACTACAACAGGTACGGCGGAACACAATGACTGACTGCCTAAAAGTTTTTTTTTACTGGCATATTATGTCAGACATATTGTTACGAGCTTAGGGTTCGTGACAATAAAAACTGCCGATTGAA